AATATTTGTCATTATTTCTTATGCATTTGAAAGTTGGACAATGAATAATGATGACCAAGGAATTGATGCCTCTGAACTGTGGTGTTGGCAAAGAGTACTGAATATTCCATGGACTGCCAAAAGAACAAACAAAACAGTCTTAAAGAAACTACAACCTGGGTGACCCCAGGAAGTAAGGTGAAACTTCATTTCATATACTTTGGCATGTTGTCAAAAGGAGACAGTCCTTAGAAAAGTACATCCAAGTGGGAAAAGTAAAGGGTCAATGAAAACAGAGAAGCTTTCAATAAGATGGACTGACAGTTGAGTTCAGCCAGAGGCCCAGATAATGCAAAAGTCTCGATGAGAGTGCAGCAAAGAGCTGGTTTAGATCTGTTGTTCATAGGGTCGTGCTGAGTTCTGGTTAACTCGATGGAATGTAACAAACAACATAGCAGGACAAGAGAAATGAAAAACTCAGAAAGGAGATGGAAGAAAAAAACTCTAAGAAAAATGGAAGTTTGCATTAAAAGCAGCACAAAGAATAAAAGAAAACTGTTAATGGACAAAAGCCAAAGGAAAAGTAATGGAGAGGAAATTATATATATTTGAATGCAGATAAAGGAGATCCAGTATGTCCAGTCAGTTTGCTTGAAGAGGATACAATAGAGAACTTTCAGATAAAATTGTAAAAATTTTCCTAAATAAAAGGCATGGTCATAGATTGAGACAGTACAATAGAATACCAATTAGGTATAAAGAAGAACGAAGTCCTGATGCATGCCACAATACTGCTGAACCCTGACACTGTCATGCTGAGCAAAATAAGTCAATTACAACAAGACAAATACTTTATGATCTCATTTATCTGAAATAAGTAAATACGTAGAAACCCTAATTAGTGGTTACAAGGAGTGATGGGTGGAGAGGCCCACTGAGTTTATGTTAATAGTGCTGTTACTCATTGGAACAGACAGTGAAAATGATTGTACTACTTGAAGAATGTAATCGATGTTACTGAATTACACATGTAGAAACTGTTGAGAAAGTATATGTTTTAGCATATCACCACAATTAAAAAAAAATTAGGCAGCCCTATACACGTCTTCTATTGACTTATACTCTAGATAGGAGTAAAAACCTTTAGAAATGAAAAGAATTTTTAAAAAATATGCTATTATTTGTACTTAAAGAAAAAAAAAGTACAAGTTTATCTATATCTAGACTCCCTTCTGGAAGGGTACGCTTGGAACTACTAACAGCATTAAGCTACAAAAAAAGGAAACTGAAAGACAGACAAAAGAGGAAGGTTTTTCTCTATAAACCTTTTTTAAATATTCTCACTCATGTTTCATGGCATGAATTCTCTAGTACTGCTGTTTTTATTTTCATCACAAAAATGTAAACCAGTTATTCAAGAAATTTTAAAACTAGGAATGTGATTGTATATAATAAAATATTTTAGAATAAAAGAAAAGTTCTTTGGAAAAGAAAAAGTTTGATGCTAGTTTTAAACTTAAGAGCAAATGTTAACTGCTTTATTCCAAATGACATACTCACCAGTATAAATAGAGGCTTCTCTGGCAGCAACAGGCATGTTGGACGTATTTGCTACCAAAGCTGTCCTCTTCATAATAGACTCTACCTTACCATCGACTTCCATTGTGAGCTAGAGACAAACAATCTATTTAATGATTCTCTGATTTTAAAGTGTAACATTTTAGCCACTGTTCATGTTTACTATCTCATAGTCTGTTTCCAAAGTGAACAGTTCCTCTAACTCCAATCTCTCCTTCCTGTCCAATGGTGCTACCAAGATAGCATGTAACTTCCATGTCACATTTAAAATTCATTCTTTTACAAAAAGAGATTCTTAATACAGTAAGCTGGTAGATCTACAAAGAGCATGTAAATTATTTTAATGTTTCTTAAAGATAAGAATCTCTGAATGTTTTGCCTTATTTTTGCTTTCTACCAATAGCTGAAATCCACTGACCACAGACACAAAGTGTTCGACTTTGTTTCTCTTTCTTGACTATAAACACATAATCACAAATATAACTAGAAAATTCTTTAAAAGATTCTTGGCAAATAAAAGCACCGTTTATAACTCAACACAAAGCTGTATTAATTGCTAATGAAAGCTGATTAGTAGTACTTTTTCCAGGCCTTCATTTGAAACTTTATATACACTGACCTCCGGGAAGTCCCGAAGGACTTCAGACATCTCATTTCCTCTTTCACCACATCCTACATAGATGATAACATCACTGTTGGAATACTTGGATAGAGACTGTGAAATCACCGTCTTCCCACAGCCAAAAGCCCCAGGGATAGCAGTAGTTCCTCCCTGGACACACCTAAACAAAGCAAACAGAGTCTGGGTTACTTAACCTGTCCATAAATAAATGGCATAACCGACCAGAAATAGCAGTTGCAGAAAACAAACACATTGAGTTATGTATGTAATTCAAAGTGCTTTCTTGGGTATATGTTTGTTTGTTTAAAAGTGTTTTCTTTTTATAAACTTATATATATACATACACACAGAGACATAAAAAGATATAAAAATTACTCCCTCTAATCTGCACATGTGTGTATGCGTTTGTGATAATCATCGTTATTATTTTTGATGACTGAAAAGTAAAAGTACATTCCATTAAGTACCTAGAGAGGAAGAGGAAAGCAAAACAACTTATAAGATGCACTGAATAGTATAAATGACATTTTAAATTCTTACAAAGTCATGAAAGGACAAAGTAGAAATTAAAACTAAAAGAGAAAGGAAAATATAAAGTTTTTTTAAAAATTAACTCCTCGGGGTTTGGCGAAGTATTAGAGCTAACAAATTCATAGATTTGCTATGAAAGTTAATAAACACAGTTCTGTTAAGGTGCTAATTAATTCTCTTTTATCCATTCAGTAATTTATTAAGTACTTCCTGGATACCGAAAACTTTGCTCAGAGATATAAGACATACAAAAGTAACATGATATCTATGTTTTCCTATGCTCACAGCTCATATTTCAGTGGTTACACTGGTGAGTAAACCAGTTTATAGTACAATTTAGCAGACACTTTTAAATTTTCCCTAAAAAGTAGCCACAGAGTAAAATACTCAACACATGCATACAGAATATGTGTCTGTGTGTAGGAGGGACCCAGGGTGGGAGGAATAGAATATAAAGAGAATATCTTTGTAAAATCCTGTGTTTTCACAAAAACTCACAGAAACATTGTATTTTTTAACTACAGTATAACCTTTAGCTTCACAATAAAACTAACACAAATTAAAAGCTTTTCTCCTCCAAATCTGAGTATGACAGACAAGAAGACGTGTTTCACTGATTGTATAAGTTTGTATACTTCCATTAAATCACTTTTAAGCATGGGCACAGAAGTGATGGTAGAATCAGACATGACACAGTTTGGAAGTTGAATAACTCAACTCCAAACTGCTCTCATAGACAGCAAAAAAAAACTGCCACGAGAGCACACAGGAATTGCTGCTGGGTCACTTACGGTGACCCCATAATAAAATGAAACACTGCCCGGCCCCATGCCATCCTCACAACTGTTGCTCTGTTTAAAGCCTTTGTTACAGCTACTGTGCCAATCCATTTTGTTGAAGGTCTTAATCTTTTTTTCTAAATAGGAGTAGACTAAGGTTAGTCAATACTTCCTGAAAGCTAAGACCTGAAAGGGAAGATCAATTAGCCACACAAAGAAGAGAGGCAGGAAAATAACACTTCAAGCAGCAAGAACAATGTGCCCAAGGATCTGAGGGCAAGAAAATGCATTCAAACTGAAGACTTGAGGACCCTGAACTGTCTAGAAGACTAAATATAAGGAAGTAACTACAGTTAGATGGCTAAAACAATATTGAGAACTAGGGCTTGTGAAACTGTGGCCTTTTTTCACACCGTTTAAGCTTGGAAATGAAGTCAACCTGGGGATCAACTTTCAGTCCAACATTAGACAGGCCTATAAGGCAAATGCCACCTCCAAGGAAGAAGTCATCCTCAGTACAATCAGCTGTAAAAGACCAGAAGGGTAGTAATGCCACAAAATAAAGTTCAAAAGGCAGAAAGGGATATGAAGGAGGGACAAATGGAAATGAGAAACCCAGGAAAGAAGTGAGAAGAATGCTCTCCTTTTGAGGGGACTCTACCAATGTTAAGAAACAAAATGTACATAAATAATTAATGAAAAGCTAATCATCCTATAAACTTCCACTCAAAAAACAGAGGGAAAGAAAAAAGGGAAAATTAAAAAAAAGAGGACAAGAGTGATGACAGGAAGTCTGATTTAATGTAGTTATTCCAGGAATTAGTGTAAGAGCTTTAATTAAAGTAATAGAATAAAGATGAGAGATATAAGTGAAAACAATTTAGGGAATAGTAAACAATAAGAACACTTGGTGATGGAAGGGACTGTATAACAATATAAGAATTTTTTACTTTTCAAAGAAAATAGCGAATTTGGGGACGGTGTGGGCAGGGAGAAAAGTGCAACAAAAAATAAATGGAAATCCAAAGTCTCTGTAAACTTTCATTAGAATTAAAAGGGGGAAAAAAAACCAAAAACCACTTGGTGATGTGAAATGTAAGAATGATCCTTGATAAAAACCATGACTTCTAGATTAGCATCTCCTGAATGGATAACGATATTGAGACAAATACAAATTAAAAGGGTTTGAAGAAAGATAGGCGTAGATATTAAAAGGATGGCTGTAATTTTATATAAATTTATATAAATTTTATATACATACTTATACTGAAGACATTAAAAAGCAGAGGTATAATTGAAAATGGGTATATGAATATGGATATGATATGAAATATTGAGGAAAAAAGAAGTACTTGGGATAAATATACAGATTTTAAAATTATCATATGTAGATGAATACTTAGGCCATGAGATTAGATGATGTGATCTACACAGACAATACTATACAGAATGAGAAGATAAGCCGGAAGAGGGATAAACTCCAAGCAATAGCAAAGCTTACGGAAGAAGGAGCCTTTTTTTTTCTTTCTTTTTATTATTTTTTTTTACTTTTAAAAATAATTTTAATGAACATTTACAGAGAATTTGGATTTCCATTCATTCATTGCTGCACTTCTCTACCAGCCCAGCCCTCTCCCCCCAACCCCAGTTCGAAGAAGGAGCCTTTGACAAAGTATATGGACAAAAAACCAACCAGGGAAAGGAGAAATTAAGAGGGGGTTCCAAGAAGGAAAAAATGGAAAACAATATCCAAAGTTTTAAGTATTAAGACCAAAATGAAGGTATTAAATTCAAATTTACTTATCAGTATGATGTTAGTGAGAGTAGTTAAGTGAGTGGTGAAGTCAAGGGTAGAGTACAGGAACTAGACTGTGAGAAGTGTAGACAACTCATTTACACTCTCAGGAGCTTAGGCTGTGAAGGAAAGTGATAGGTGGCAAAGGAAGGAGGCTTGAGGCTGCATACAGTTCTTGTTAGGTACTGTGGAATCAAAATGACTCGTTACTTGGCTAGCTCTGCTGGCCTTGTAGCAAGAAGCTGCACTGCAATTCCAGAGGTGTGCGGTTCGAATCCACCAGATGCTCTGCTAGAGAAGGAGGGACAATCTCCTCCTGTACCAGTCAGATCCAATTTGATGGTCCACATACACACACACACACACCACACACACAACTCATTACGGACCCTGCAGTGGGTTTTCAGATCCAGTAAATCGCATGGGAGGAGACTGTCCATCTTTCTCCCACACAGCAGCTGAATGATTCATACCTGTTCCCAACAGATCCTTACCCTTAAGCCCCCAGAGCTTCCTGAGAGGAGGATATAACAGAAGGGAGATAACTGATCAAAAGAGATCCTAGAGGAGATATGGGGCAGAATAAGTGCCAGAAAGAGAAACAGGAGAAGGGATGAATGGAAGTCTAGGCTAGGAGCAAGAAGAGAAACAAATCTGATGGACTCATATTTCTCTATGAAGGAAGAAAGTCATCTGATAACAAAGAGCAGGAAATGGGATCAGAAATCTAAAGCAAGAGAAGACAGGAGAGTGTGATAATTAGAGAAATCAGAAAGACAGTATGAAGTTAGGTTAATAAATTATACTGACTACTGGATTTTTTCAGTAGGGACAGTGTAGTTTAACTGACAGCAGCCAGTAAATGAAAAGAGTAAGAATGAATACAACAGCAAGTATTGGTCATAAAAGACTACTGAGTTAAGCTGGGTAGAGATGGAAGTGCAAGTGCTAACTGATGAGAATTTAGAGTAAAAGAAACAGAGATCTTAAGAAAAAATTAGGAAGCAAGTTTGAAAGGGTACAAAGTTGTGTGAAGTGTGGGACTTTGAATGTGTTTAGTGGTCAGACTGAAGAAGTGCCTGTCCTAGACCTTCAGCCTTTCTAGTGAATTAAAGAATAAAGGCATCTGTTCTAAAGTAAAGCAAGACAGATGGAGCTCTGATGGTGCAGGGTACAGGGAGTTGCGCTGCTAACCCAAAGAAAGAGAGCATTTTGAGAATTAAGAAAGATTGCATGGGAGTTTACAGAGGCCACTAATACAGGAAATCATCAATTTATAGAGATACCGATCCATTAAGTTCCAGGAGAATGTTAAGAAAGATGTTTGTATTTTCAGGATGGACTACTTTCTTTGGGAAACACTCATTTCTTAAAAAGCTTCAAAAAGAATCCACTCTTTCTTATAACTGTAAAATACACATTTTCTCCAGCACCTTGACAAAGGAATGTATTCCATTCACTTAGATTTCTCTACATAAATTTTATTGTAAGATTAAATGTATAAAACCCATATCTATTAAGAAACAAAAAGGCAAGCACAAGCAGTGTCTGAGAGGAAACCCGGAGGTACAGCCCAAGCTTACGGGAAAAGAGCATCAAGGACTCTCTGGCCAGTCAGCAAAGGATGATTGGCTGGCAGCTTCTCAGTGACAGGCCGAACTTGCCGAACAGGCCAAACTTGGACCATGCTGAACTTTTCCTTGGCACCTTCAAATTCAAGCTCCAAGACAACATCCTATAAAATATGCAGCAAAATTTTAAGTAAAGTCAAATCAGTTAGCACAGCATATGGAAAAAATCAAAGTGAACAAAAAGTAGTAATGATTCCTTGTGTAAGAGATTTTTCATTTTTTTAGACTTTCATATTCATATTCATTTTTAAAGGAAGTACATTTGTTATGATTAAAATAATTTCAAAGTCCATCCATACCAAAAATCAGTTGTTCAGTCAGTTCTAACTCATGGTAACTTCCTGCATGTCAGAATAGGACTGTGCTCTGTGAGGTTTCCAAAGGCTGGTTTTTGGTAGTAGATGACCAGGCCTTCCTTCCAACACGTTTCTGAGTAGACTCAAACTTCCAACCTTAACTCTGTGCATCACGCACGGATTATAACCAGTTGCTGACAAATTCTGACTCATGATAATCACATGTGTCAGGGTGGAACCATGTGCCATCTCTATTTTGCTGACAGATGAATTTGAATTGTCCGTTTTGGGGTGGTTTCTCCATACAGCAGTGTCTTAATGAATGAGTGATACTATAACTACCACAAGTGGTTGGTTTTAACAAGGAGAAATTTATTCCCTTATAGTTTTGAAGGCTAGAAGTCCAACTTCAGTATATCAGCTCTAGAGGAAGGCTCTCTTAGGGTCAATTATGGTGAAAATATCCCATTTGCTTTGGTATCTGGAGACACAGCATTCCTTGGATATCTCTGTGTCTTGGCCTTCCCTAGTGTCAAGGAATTTCTGAGCACAGGGACCCAGGCCCACAAGGATGCAAGCCACTCCTGGCAATTTCTTCTTGGGATTTGGGTTCACACTTCACCCAGGCTCACTCTGCTCCCCCTTTTTTACCTCTAATAAGATTAAAAATCTGACAGTACACATCTTAGGTAAATTCTCTTACATCAGATCTGGGTTGTATTGCCTTCCACCCTTAATCCTTTTGCAGCTATCTGGTTTCTCAACATTGTGGAGTATCATTACTTGTTGTCACAAGATGCCATCAAGCTGAGTATGATTCACTGCAGCCCCATGAACAACAGACCTGACTCCTGTCCTGTCTTATGGATCTTCACATCTCTAACACACTTGACCTTACTGCTGCAGTCACTATGTCAATCTATCTCATTGGGGAGCTATCCTCTCTCGCTGACCCTCTATCTTTACAAGCATGATGTCCCTCTCTGAGGAATAGTATCTCCTACAACATGCCCAAAGTATGTGAGATGAAGCTTCACCATCTCTACCTCCAAGGAGCACTTTGGCTACACTTTTTCTAAGACATATTTGTTTGTTCTTTTGGCAGACCACAATTCTAAAGTCATCAATTCTCTGTCATCCTTATTCACTGTATTGCTCTCAGATGTATAGCAAATGATTGAAAAGACCATGGTCGGAAGCAGGCACACCTTATCCTTCAAACTGATATCACTGATGTTCAATATTTTGGAGAGGTCTCAGACAGCAGACTTGGTGAATGCACTATGTCTCCTGATCCCGAATGCTGTTACCATGGGTGCTGACTGTTGATCTAAGCAAGATGAAACCATGGACAACTTCAACCCTTTCTTCATCTATCATAATGTTGCCTATTGGCCCAATGGTGAGGACTTTTTTTTTTATGTTGGGATATAATCCATACCAAAAGCTGTAGTCCTTATCTTTTATAACAAGCATTTCAAGTCCTCTTCACTGTGAGCAAGCAAAGCTGGGTCATCAGCATTACTCAGGATGCTGATGTGTCTTCATCCAGTCTTGTTGCCACATTCTTGTTCAGAGTCCAGTTTCACGAATTATTTGCTCAGTATACAGATTAAATAGGTATGGAAAAAGAATACATCCCTGACGCACACCCTTCCTGATTTTAAACCATGCAGAGTTCCCTTGCTCTGTTAGGACAACAGTTTCTTGATAATGAATGCGACATCATTCTTCAATTTGTCATTCTTACCATGGTAAGTCATATGACTGCCTGATTCACATGGGCAGAGTATTCATAATTTATTCTGCTAAGATTAGACCAGTTATAAGAAGTGTGGAGTCAACAGTTTAATCAATTTGCTGTAATAACTGTGATTTCTTACAACAACAGGTCCTTCTTCCATCAGTTCCCTCACTCCTCTTTGTTGGGTTTGGTGATTCACTGAAGATTCTCCCAGAGAACCAGACCAGTCGGGGAATGAATCCTGAGACTGCAGGTATGGAAGCTGTTTTGTTTTTGTGTTGTTTTTTTTTTTTTCCTTTTTCTCTTTTTTATTAATTTTAATGAAAGTTTACAGAAACTTTGGATTTCCATTCATTCACTGTTGCACTTTTCTCCCTACCCACCCCTATCTCCCAGTTCACTCTTCTCTTTGAAAAGTAAAAGAAAAATTCTTTGTTATACAATCCTACTCCCAAACTCCACTCCATTATTCAGCCTTCATTCTGGACTCCTGTCATGACAATAATATCTAATCATAAATCCCTTTTTTGTTTTTCATATGCAACTTTTTTCATAAATCTCTTTTAAACAGTTATCTCCCTCATTTGTTTCAATGTAGCACACATAATTTATCCCATCTTTCTCAGTCTCCCCTCAACCCCCATATCAGTCCTGGTTTTTTTGTTGATTTTTTTTTT